ATAAAACATACACATATCGGGTACCCGATATGTGCATGGTGTGTCCCTAATATCGGGCATATATTGGGTACCCGATATGTGTAGAAAATATTTTATATATATATCGGGTACCCGATAAGTGTAAAAAAATATTTTCTATACTTATCGAGTATCCGATATATGCCCGATATTAGGGACACACCATGCACATATCAGGTACCCGATATGTGTATGTTTTATCAATTTTCGACCAGTGTATGTCAATGTGTCTTGATAAACTTGTTGAAAGTTTAAACAAAAATCTTGAAAAATTTCTTCTAACAGTAAAATACTTCGTTAATAAAGGATATTCAATAGATAAAATCAAGTTAATAATATAACGAAAAGGTGTTTTTCCATATAACTGGACAAATACATGGGATAAATTCAATAGAACAAAGCTTTCACGTAGAAAAGATTTCTATTCTCAGCTCAAGCAGTAAAATATTAGTAAAGGAGATTATGAACATATGCAAAAAGTATGGCAAGAATTTGAAATGACAAATTTTGGAGAATACCATGACCTTTATCTCGAAACAGATGTACTTTTACTTGCGGATGTTACTATTATGTGTTTACAGGATGATAGATTGAACCTCTCACATTATGTTTCAGCATCAGGAATGTTTAATGATTCATTATACAAAAGTAGCGAAGTTAAGATTAAGCTAATGACGGATATGGATGAGTATTTGATGGTGGAAAATGGGATTCATGGAGGCATGACAATGGTAAGTCAATGATATGCCAAAGCTAATAATGAAAAATGTCCCGATTATGATCCTAACAAACCAAAATCCTGGATCATGTATGAAAATATGAATGCTTTATATTCAGGCACAATGACGTAATACATGCTTACAGAGATTTTAGGAAAGGTAGGTCCAGAAGAAATTTCTGATATTCAAAGTATTGAACCTGATTCTGAAATAGGATATATGCTTGAAGTTGATATAGAGGCCCCAATAAACATACACGATTTCTTTGCAGATTATCCTTTAGCACTGGAAAAGCAAATCATATCAGAAAACTGGCTTAGTTTATATAATGAAAGATTAGTACATGACAAAGCAGTTGGAGGTGGAAAATATGTAATAGGAGAAAAGCTATTACAAACCCTCTTACCCAAGAAAAATTATATAGTTCATTATAAAGCTTTATAGATATATATGAAATTCAGAATGAAAATTACAAAAATTCACAGTGCTTTAAAGTTTCGTCAATCTCCATGGATGAAAAACTATATTGAGGAAAATATTCGTAAAAGAAAAATTACCAAAGCTAACAAAGAGGAGTTTGGGGTTATGTATTATAAACTTAAGAATAATGCAGTATTCAGAAAACAGATGGAAAATGTTCGTAAATATATGAGAGTAGAATTACTTAGATCTGATCAAGATAAAAAACTAACTCGTCTCGTTAGATCTCTATTATTTGTAGGGTTTAAAGTTTATGAAGGGGGAATTACAGCAGTTCACATGTTAAAAAGTACAGTAACTCTTAATAAACCATTATTTGTGGAGCAAGTGATTCTTGATATTAGCAAAGCTATGATGTATAATTTCTGGTATGGTTATATAAAACCTCGCTGTGGAGACAAGACCCATTTACTTTATACAGATACAGATTCTCTTATTATGTGGATCGAGACAGAGGATATTTATAAAGATCAAGCTGAAAGACCAGATATTTTCGATTTCGACTATTCAGGAGATTTATTCTTAATGAAGGATGAAACAAAGGGAGGACCAATAGGTAAGTCAGTATGTTTGAAACTGAAAATGTATTCAGTCCTTCTAGCTGGGTATGATCCAAAAACTCCTAAAACAGATACAGATTTCGAAAAAGAGTTAGAGGAAGAAGAATCTAGAAAATCTCAAGGTATGAAAGACTAGCAGAAAAAGCATGGAATGCAAAAGGCTAAAGGTGTTAAGAAATGTGTAGTTAAGAGAGAGCTTCGGCATGATAAATTTTTAGAATGTCTCAAGACTAAGAAGCTAACCTGACATGATATGTATGGTCTCCGCAGTTATGATCATGAAATATATTTAGAACGAGTAAATAAAATTGGGTTAAATTCATATGATAATAAGCATTGGATTCTATTAGATGGTATACGAACCCTCCCATACGGGCATTGGAGAATTTTTGCATATAAGCATATGGTTTCATCTGGAATATCTCCTGAAGAAGCTGAAAAAAGAGCAATGACGGTTAAGCTTAAACCTCAATACCAGTAATCAGATGAACCTAGTTATTTCACCAAGTGAGCAAGACTTCGTAAAATTAGATCAATTATTAAGATTTTTTTTTCATGAGTAATAAATATTTTGACTCAATGCTAGATAACTACGATCTCGAATATAAGAAAGAGTATGATGAATTTATCAAAGAATATGGATGGGATATTGATAACCCCGAATTCACTCCTCAGTGGTACGACTGGAAAGAACTTTTTGATATAATCTTGGAGTATTGGGATGAGAAGGTGATTAGACAGTGGAGAGAAAAGGCACTTCAACGGTTTGTATATATTTTACCTAATATAAAAAATCCGGTATCATTATTCCATACTTTTATAAATTCTGATGTTTTTAAGCTTCCACAAATATTGAGCCTCGAGGGAGTGATGACATGTGACTAATTTTTCGTTTAATAAATTATATTTACTTAATGTAAGAAAGCAAGTCGGCCTACCCATCTGTCATATTTATTTTTTTCGGTTAGATCTGGAGACAAATGTAATAATTACATAAATCGGGATAAAAAATATTTCTAGTATAATATCCAAAATGACAGAAAAATTTAATAAACATGCAGAACGAAAAGCAAAAAATAAGCTTAAATATCTCCAAGCATCCATCACAGTTTTGGAAATCGAAATGCGGACATTCCAAATAAAACTCGAAAATATTATCCAACGATGTCGCAATATAAATTCATCTATATATAATTATAACAAATATAATAGCAATACCTCAGATTCTGAAACCGATACATCTAATGATGTGGAAATTCTCACTTACACCTCAAAAGATATACTGGTAAAAAAGATACACGAATCTAAAGACCTTGGTCCAGTCTATTCTACGTGTAAAAAGAAGCGAAATAAGAACAAGGTATATAATTGTACAAAGGTATGTAAAGTAGCCTCGACACATAAATTGATCGTATAATAAATCGTGATCACGATATTCTGATTTTTATTACATGTGTTTAGACGTACTTTACAGGTTAGATTCACATGTTTTTTGTATGACTCAATTTCTCACATATACCCTCATTCGTCATTTTTTGATTAATTTTTATGTTTTTCACTAATCATAAATTTCACTAAGAATGAACTAATTTACTTATCTTTGTATCATTTCGGACGTAATGCCAATTCGAGTTGGGGTATATTTTCTCGGACGACATATGAGTGGGTATATAAGTATATGAAAGGTGAGCAACGAAAATTTATTTGGTTCTGTGTATTATGCTGAGAACGGAAAAAGTCCCAACTACTAATCTTAAAAACCTCGCATATAGCATCCTAAAAAACCTCAACGACGATGTTATCAAAAATAAGAAATTCACTGAGTTACCTAACTGTGTAGAATGCAATAAAAAGATTTTTTCTGACCTCAATAAAGTATTCACAGTCTTAGGATGCGAACATATATACCATATACCTGCCACCCAAATTCAAAATTCAAATGCCGAAATCCCAAATGCCAAAATCCCAAATCCCAAATCCCAAATTCCAAATACTAGTAATTTGGGATTTTGGCATCCCAAATCCCAAATGATTTGGGATTTGGGCAACACGTATAACATACCATAGAATCTGTATTGAGAAGAAACTCCTGTTTACAAAATCAAATGGTTGCCCCTTTACCAACTGTGGAAAAAGCGTCGAGACTATTACCGAAGCTAGCACAGCCGAAACGGAGCCTAGACGCAATTCAGAATTCAGCACTTCGTCATTAGTTGGGAAGATGGGAAACCAACTTAATATCCAGTCTCAAGAAATTATTGATGAAGAAATGACGGATGCGGATAATAGGGAAAATAAAGATAATAGCGGAGCTAGTGCCAAGGCACATAATTCGAAGGATAAGGCCACTGATATGGGTGAGGAGTCTAATAAAAGACCTATCGAAGTTGACTCTGAAGAGCCGAATACCACGCAAGATAAATTCCCCAGTAAGAAAGCGAAGAAGGAAGTTAAAAACAAGGATTCCCAGATACTGAAACGACTTATCAAGAAGTTAAGTAGTAATAGTAGTCCGCAGGTATCTGAAATTAGCGTAGAAGAGGGTGAGAATTCTGAAAATTTGCTTCACTTATACAATAAAATTATTAATGCCGAGATTCGTAAAGAGATTGCAAGTCAAGAAGTCATAAAATCTTATTATTCATTTGGAAAAGTTCTCTCGTAACGTTTCAAGTACCACTTCGATAAATCTTTAAACGTGCATTAAGCTCAAATGGATGTTAATGATGAACTTGAAAAACAACTCCCTGACACTACTGAAACTACTCGTAATAAAAGAAAAGAAAGAGCTCAAAAAATATACTTCCTCTTTAATAGTATTGGTATCGAAAAAATAGGTTTAGTTAAATCTTTTTCCACGAATACTATCTCGAAGCTAAGTGTAGAAAAAATCAAATATGTAAAAGACGAAATCATAAAGACTGCGCCACAGATCACGTGACCCTGACCGCTGGATCAAGATCACGTAACATACATATATCAGAGTTTCGTTATTAGAAAATAATGTATTACAATTTATAAAAAATCATAATAAAGTATCAATTATTTTTCTTGCCATTAATGTAACACATTGGGTTTGTGAAGTGTAGACTCTTTGAGCCATGCGACCATGGTGGCGTCTTCAGCTTGCTTTGCAATAAATTGCATATAATGTTATACATCTTCATCGTCAAAAATAAACACGTGATTTATGCATGTGACATAGAGCCCTCATGTAATCGCGGAAAAATGATTTGTCGAAGTCAATTATTTCTATACCGGGTTTGTGAAATATGTCATTATCTATCATTAAATAATTATTTGTGTTAATGCTTATGCATGCCCCAAGGGAGCAACCTCATGTGATCGCGGGAAAATGGCACCTTGACTTTGCTGATTTATGCATTGTGTCTAGTTAAAAATTTGTATGAATTGATTATAAGTTTTTTCCCATTCTTCCATAAGATCATCGAGCCATGCAGTACTTAAACCACTCTTTAGTATACCATGATGTAATAACTCTTCGCCAGTCAGTCTTTTCCAATCTGTTAAAAATTTATGGTATTTTCTAGTATCTTCATTCCTTTTTATTCCTTCACGATAACAGCATATATCTCTCTCCAGGTCACCACGGAAGCATCCCATGGTCCATCTTTTTTTCTCAGCCTCAGTAATGACCAAAGATTTCTCGGGATCCATTTCATGTTTGATGGCATATTGATAAAGGCGAGTTTTGTTTGGATGAATTAGTGAGTTACTGATTTTGTTTGGTACACTTACTTGAATTTCTGGTAAGCTCTGTATAGCGATTATAACTTTCTTTTGATCAATGCGAAAAGGACAATTAAGATAATAGTGATCATTTTTATCAAGACAGCTCCAATCACCCCATATACCTAAACATGTATATACCTCTTTGCATACAGGACATTTAGCTTCTGAATCTGTATATTTAAAAACATCTCGGTACCATGCATTCGAATTAGTATATGATAAGAAAGGAAAACGTTTATGTACTGTTTCATGGATTATATCTTTCTCTTCCGGAAACTTGAAAATTTTGATAACACAATCCTGTGAAAGGTAATTATTAGTCTTTTCGATTTGTGGGGGTTCAGGAGTTTCAGACATTATCCAGGGATCAAGCCCAGTTTCTTCTGTATATGCTCTATATAAGCTTAAACGAATTTTATCTGTCAAATGACTCAGTGAATCAACCAATTTAGCGTGCCAGTTTAAATATTCAAGAGTTAAGGCTTTATCCATGTTATTCTTTATATGATCGCAAATTCAAATTGAGTATGAATTATGTCTTGTCACGCTTATATAACAAGGATGCTTATGCACTGAAACTCTGTGCATATCCCGAAATAGTAATAAAAAAAATATATGTAGTATTGCAAAGCAATGACCCTTTAGGTCTAATTAATTTGAAATCGGAGAATTTGTCGAAGGCAATATAACTTTATATTTTATGCTATTATCTCGATTTCACGCTTTCGCATATAATAAAATAGGTTCCAACTTCATATCTACCTTTTACACTCTTCCCATCTTCATGATATAATTTACATACT